CATGCCCGGGCACCCAGCCCTTCAATTTGCATATATATATAGCGAGTACCGCTATGTATATATGCCTCTGTGGGCCAGGATATACTTACCTTCCCCTCCAGCACTCTCGCGAGCCACAGCAGTAAAGCGTTGCCGCGGGTTGTCATGACAACGCTCCGCGGCACGCAATGCATGCTGGGCTCGCGTCCTTGCTGCAGGAGGGAGAACATGGAGGGAGTCTGCTGGGCTCCTCCTTGCTGGCTCAACACGCGGAGCCACCGGACCACCAGGGAGTCCAGTGTCCCCCCTCCCTGACTACAGGTAAGAGGCAGGGAGGGGGGAATACATCTTTTTTTTAATTTATTTTTTTAATTATACAAATTCTACATTAAAAAAAAAAATGCCTCCCAGCAGCATTTGTCACACATCCACCACACACATACACATCATCAAACAGATAAACTGCATCCACTACACAACCACACACATCATCCACTACACAACCATACACATAATCCTCTACACAACCATACACATCATCCACTACACAACCATACACATCATCCACTACACAACCATACACATCATCCACTACACAACCACACACATCATCCACTACACAACCATACACATCACCCACTACACAACCATACACATCATCCACTACACAACCATACACATCATCCACTACACAACCATACACATCATCCTCTACACAACCACACACATCATCCACTACACAACCACACACATCATCCACTACACAACCATACACATCATCCTCTACACGACCATACACATCATCCACTACACAACCATACACATCATCCACTACACAACCACACACATCATCCACCACATAAACACACAAACTGCATCCACTACACAACCATACACATCATCCACTACACAACCATACACATCATCCACTACACGACCACACACATCAACCACCACATAAACACACCATAAACCACATAAACTGCATCCACTACACACATCATCCACTACACAAACACACACTCTGCATTCACTATACACACACTACATCCACTACACATACACTTTGCAGTCACTATATACACACTACTTCCACTACACAAACACACACACTGCATTTACTATACACACAAACACTATATCCACTACAGACACACTGTATTCCCTATACACACAAACACTATATCCACTACACAAACACACACTCTGCATTTACTATACACACAAACACTATATCCACTACACAGACACACTGTATTCACTATACACACACACTACATCCACTACACAAACACACACTCTGCATTAACTATACACACACACACTACATCCACTACACAAACACGCAAACTACATTCACTATTCACATACTACATCCAGTACACAAACACACACACTGCATTCACTATACACACAATACATCCACTATACACAAAATACATCCACTATACACACACACTCTGTCCACTACACAAAGTGGGGGCATGTCATGTGGGCAGACTTGGGGCAGGTCATGTGGATTGACTTGGGGGGGGTGGCCCCAGGGGGCCCAGATGGTGGGCTGTGTCAGGGGCCCCAAAATTTCTGGTGGTAGCCCTGACTGGCAGAGCATCACCAGGGATGTGTTCCAGACTTCAGGCTGTAATTGACTGCAAAGGATTTGCAACCATGTATTAAAAAGTGAAAGTTTGATTTATGACTGTTAATCTGTCCCATTACCTTTGGTCCCTTAAAAAGTGGGAGGCACATATACAAACTGTTGTAATTCCTACACCGTTCACCTGATTTGGATGTAAATACCCTCAAATTAGAGCTGAAAGTCTGCAGTTAAAGCACATCTTGTTTGTTTCATGTCAAACCCATTGTGTTGGTGTATAGAGACAAAAAGATTAGAATTGTGTTGATGTCCCAATATTTATGTACCTGACTGTATGTGTTTTTGAAGTGGTGGGTAGTTTTCAGATCTGGCTAGTAGCCCAGTCTACTTGTATCTGTAAATGTGTGGTTAGAGCATCTCCAAAATGGCAAGAATTATGTACTCCCGTCGGAACTGCAGACTGAAGAGAGGGCGCCCACTGGACCACCAGGGAAGGTAATTATAAACCCCCCTCTACCCCCTGTCACTCACTGCCCCTCCACCCTACCCCCTGCCACTGCCCCTCTACCCCCTTTCACTGCCCCTCCACTCCCCCACCCCCTGTCTCTGCCCCTCTACCCCCCAACCTCTGTAACTACCCACTAACCCCTGTCTCTACCCCCCTAACCCGTCACTGCCCCTCCACTCCCCCCCACCCCTGTCACTGCCCCTCACCCCTAACCCCTGTCACTACCCCTAAACCCTGTCACTATCCCTCCTCAGCCTGTCACTACCCCTCTACCCCACCTAACCCCTGTCACTGCCCCTCTACCCCCTAACCCGTCACTGCCCCTCTACCCCCTAACCCGTCACTACCCTCTACCTCCCCTAACCCCTGTCACTGCCCCTCTACCCCCCTAACCCGTCACTAGCCCCCTAACCCCTGTCATTGCCCCTCCACTCCTCTACCCCGTCGCTGCCCCTCCACCTCCCTAACCCCTGTCGCCCATACAGTGCACCCCTCACAATCACACACACACTGTACCCCTCACAATCATACACACTGTACCCAACACACACTGCATTCCTCACAATTACACACACTATACCCCTCGCAATCACACACCCATGTATATTGTATTTCTATATGTATGTGTGTGTATGTATGTATATATATATATGTATGTGTGTGTATGTGTATATAAAAATACATATACACGCGGCGTGTGTGTTTGTGCTTTAGGGTGCACACCCTAATGCAACAGGCTGCGCACGCTTATGATTGCAGTATCTATATGTGCATACTTGTGTGGGTTAGCGAGGTCTTCTTATTTTTATTGTTAATATAAAAAATGCATTTGTAAAATGTAAAAGTAGGCAACTGTGCCATACAATGATTATGTCCATTTCATCTCCCAGGTCAGCCCTGACAACTACTCATATACAGCCACACACATCACTTACAGAGGCCCAAACTTATCATTTATAATTACTCACACAACTACACATACCACTCACAGCTACCCACACGCAGCAACAAACATCACTCACAGCTATACACATATTACACACAGCCAGCCTCATACACAGAAAGCCACAACACACACCTACAACACTTACAGCCACCTACACCTACATAAGACACACTCACTCAATATTTTAATAAATATTCACATTACGTTACCTTAAAATTTTTTACAAATATTGTAATCAGTTATTATGGGATCCACTGTCACCATTCTATTTTACTATATTGTATCTATTTTTAATGTAAGCACTGCAAATGACCATTTGATGTGTAGGTCCCCCTCGTGCTGCCAAACAGCTCAGATGTGTCGAGGCATGGACTCCACAAGACCTCTAAACGTGTCCTGTGGTATCCATGAAGACATTAGCAGCAGATCATTAAAGTCCTGCAAGTTGGGGGCCTCCACGAATCACATTTTTTGTTCCTGCACATCCTACAGATGCTCAAACGGATTGAGATCTGGGGAATTTGGAGGCCAAGGCAACACCTTCAACCTTTTTGTTCCTCAAATTATTCCTGAACAATTTGTGCAGTGTGACAGGGTGCATTAAGCTGCTAATAGAGGCAACTACCATCGGGAAAAATACTGCCATGAAGGGGTGTACGTGGTCTGCAACAATCTATAGCTAGGTGGTACATGTCAAAATAACATCCATATGATCTAAAACAAAAAACTGATTCATTAGACCAGACAGCCTGCTTCCATGGTCCTTGGTACATTTCCAACACACATCCTCATTGAAGGTGCTTTTGTCAGTGGACAGGGATCATCATGGGCACTCTGACTGTTCTGTGGCTAAGCAGCCCCATACAGAGCAAACTGGGATGCACAGTGTGTTCTGACATCTTTTTATCATGACCAGCATTAACTTTTTCACCAATTTGAGCTACTGTAGCTCTTCTGTGTGATTGGACCAGACAGGATAGTCTTCTGCTCCCAATGTCCATCATTGAGCCTTTAGGGCCCAAGACACTGACTAAAGTTGTCTGGTTGCTTTTCCTTGCACCACTTTTGGTAGGTACTAACCACTGCATACCAGGAGCAATACATAATCCTTGCCATTTTGGAGATGCTCTAACCATAACTATTTGACCCTTGTCAAAGTCACTCAATACCCCCTATTTACAGGTTCTATGGCGTTTTGGGAAGTTACAGGGTCAAATATAGCACGTTACATTTGAAATTGAAATTCGCCAGATTGGTTACGTTGCCTTTGGAACTTTATAGTATTTGTTTGTGTGTGAAAAATGCAAAAAACGCCAATTTTGGCCAGTGTTTGTGACTAAGTGGCTACTAAAAAAGACTGGACATACCCCGTTTGCAATACCTTGGGTTGTCTACTATTGCAAATGGTATGCCATCATAGTACAGGTTTTATGGCGTCTTGGAAAGTTATAGGGTTAAATATAGTGCTAGCAAATTAAATTCCCTTTCCTTTCGGCATGGGTTGTCAGGCAGGTCCCGCTAATTGTAATTAATTAAGATACCTAATTATGTAAAAATATTACATAAATATTTATGTAGAATTAATATATGCATATATATATATATATACATACATACATACACACACACACACACGTATGTGTATATATGTATATATATAATTTTTAAAAAATATTTTTATTTATAGGTATATAGTGATATATACGTATATATTTATGTATATAGATATATATATTATTTCATTCTACGTGTATTTTGATATAAATATATTAATATCACAATACAGTTAGAACGAAATAACATACATTTATATATTTTTTAATTATGTTTTTAATTTTACTTGTTATTTTTATATTATATATAAATATATAACAATAATTATATATTTAATCAGTATCAGTCTACGTGTCATTTGATATTAATATATATATATATATTTTAATAGTAAAATACACCTAGACAGTGTATGAGTGTGTGTGTGTGTGTGTGTGTGTGTGTGTATATATATATATATATATATATATATACACACATACACACACACACACACACTTAGATCATATATTATATATAATATATATAATATATAATATATATAATTTATATATGATCTAAGTATACAATTTATTTTTTTACATTTATTTTAACTTTAATTTAATTTGATTTCCAGCCAGCAGGGGGACTACCTGTCATTAGGTCAGTCCCCCTGCTGGCAATACAGCAGCCAGCTAACCCGGCCATGTGATTGTGAGGTCCTCGCAAGGACCTCACTCTCACATGGCCGGGGGGGCTGCAGGAGGCTGGATGTGCCGCGGGGGGCTCCCTTGGAGTCCCCCCAACCGCGACCGCCAGCGTGGGATTGCCGGCGACCGGGTAAGTAAAAATAACAAAAATGGAGGGCGTACTATTACGCCCGGCGGCGTTTAGAGCCGCCTAAAATAGGGCGTAATTATACGCCCTCTGGTCTGAAGGGGTTAATGGTTGTGGCTCATCAGTGTATTAAAAAATATGAAAACAACAACAGGTACATTTCCCATTTCATTAAATAAAAAGTAATGATGGATTTCACTCACACCTAGTTCCAGCCCTGAAAGTATATATCCAAGAAGCTAGCCAATGCTGTGAATATCTTGATCCATGTCTTCTGGAGGCAGTGACACTTATAGGGACAATATAGGCTCCCAGACCACTTCAGCTCATTGAAGTGGCCTGGGTTCATATTCCCAAGTCCCTTAACCCTGCAAAGGTAATCATTACAATTTTTAGAGGGACTTCCAGGTCATTAGGCAATTTTTGGTCGCCGGACATCCTCACGTTATGCATGAGGATATCCAGCATCACCCGAAACCCCATAGGAAAGCACTGTATAATGCTTTCCTATGGAGAAGTACTAATGTGAGCACGGCCATTGCCATGCATTAGGCCTCCCCCGCCAGCTAATGTTAGCAGTAGAGGAGAGGAAGCGGACTCTGAGCTAGTGCCAAGGTACATCGGTGCTGGACACAAGTAAGTGAAAGCAGGGATTTTTGTAGTCAGGGGAGAACTGTAAGGAGCCATAGTGCCAGGGAAACAACTTTGTTTTCCTATAATCTGTGGATTTCTAAGGTTGAGGAGATAAGGCAAATAGAAGCCTTAATGGCTTCTCTATATGACAGGACCAATATATGTAAATGTTATTTGGCTTCCCTAGCTTTAAGACTTTAAGTCCAGGATGAATCATCAGAGATAAACAAACACCCTTAAGCATTCGGGTTGTCCCCTTCAAATTGTGCCATCTTCCTGCCCCCGCACCCCCTCTTGTTCTCAATCCTCTCTCCTTCATTACTATTCCTCCCCTCCCTTCGACTTATGTAGTCTATTTAGCTCCAGCCGCTGCTTGTGAGCATTTGATTCTTTTTTCCAATGTACACTTCACATGGATGGTCATATGATCATATCTAACCTTGTATCTCTTTGTTCATGACATTATAGTATATAAGTCCTTGATAAGAACTCGTTGACAAAAAAAAAGCATTAAAAACAAAACAGAATGAAATAAAACTGTAAAAAAGTAATGGCATCTTCTGCTTACAGCATAAATACACACGTTAATCTACCCAGTATTAAAACACAGCCATACTTGCCGGAATACTAGAATTTTTCTTTTGTTTTAAGCAGGGTTTCATTAATATGACTTTGTACACAAGTGAAGTCTCACCCTCCCCACTTTTTTCCCCTCTAAGTGTAAATAAAACAATAATGACAGAGAGAGAATGTTTTAATTCATACCAAATAAAGAACACATCCAAACTAACCAATATTATGCTATAAACTAGATTCCAAAAGCACAATGCACTGCAGCAGCTTGAAGCTTCAAAGCTATATAATGTTCACCATCACTGTAACCTTAAACCTGGAAATAAAGTAATAATGAAGACATGGAACAGATGAAAAATTTTGTTTTTGGCATTCATTTCATCTTTTTAATGGAATAATATTGCACCTATAAAGATAAAAAGAAATGCACATGTTAGAGAATTACCATGCTATTATAGGAGGTAAAATCAAACTTTCTACATAGCATCTTTTTTCAAGTGTCACTGACAGCCACTAAAGGGACTTCCTGGATAAGGTCCTGAAACCTTTGCAGGACCTACTTTCAAGCTTCTCCACACTATGCATAGAGATGCAGAACAACCCCCACAGAGATTCACTGATTCTATGCACCTCTACAAGGAGATGCTGACTGGTGCACTTTGCAATTTCAAGTGTTTGTTATCCTTAGAGAAAAAGGAAGACCTCTTTCGAAATATGCCAGAAAATCAACAAAACTGTTGGGAAGAGCACAAACAATAAAACGTAAGCAAAAAAAATATTGTAAATGCAAAATAATTGTAAAAAAAAAAAAAAAAAAAAGAACCCACCACATTACCCTGAATCCAGTGCCAGGAGCTCTCATTTCCATGCCCCATCTTGACTCAAACCATGTCACTCCGTGGTCCAATCATATGTTTCTCAGAGGTCAGTTGTCAACTCTCAGAGCTCATGTGCACTCTGAGCCAGTGTGGGGAGAGATGACAAAGAAGGAGGGAATTTGTTTGAAACCCCCCCCCCAAAAAAAAACACAATAGAGGACTGAGCTCTCAAAACCAGGAGGCTGAGAGGGAGTCCATGAAGGGAGGGGAGACTCAAGATTCTCCCACTGTTGTCACTGCCTGCAAGGGTAACATTTTGCCAGTGCGCAGTACACACTGATGACAGATTTAATTTTTGCTCAGAATTGATGTTTGGCAGTCTGGAGTTCCAGACTGCCCAAGTCACGTGTGTCGGTGGTGTAACTAGCCCCTGGCACACAAGTGCAAATATCTCTGGATGTGTAACGTTTGAAGCAGAAATGCTGCACATTCAGATTTCTACCATCATGACCACTTCAAAAAGCAAAAGTGGTCATGGTGTTATCTTTGATGCTGCCAGCCTTATATACAAGCTTGCTATCCAGTTTTTTGACCTCAATGCTCATTTACCAAAGGACCCTCTCCTGATTTTTAACTGATAACCGGTAACTGCTATTTGGATAAACTTTTAAATTAAGAAATTATCAAAAAATAATATATTATATACCACAGAAAATATCAACATATGTATAAAAAAATATATACAAATATTTTTCAAATTATTACTCATATAAAAAAGTTTATCTAAAAATATTTAATCAAGGTCTATATTAGTATACCAATGTGCAATTTGCAATGGAATTATGGGTGAGAACACTTCAAATGATTCTCTTTGCTCAGGATTTCTATAAACATTTGACATAAACATTGCTTAAATGCAGTAGATAAACCTACCCCAGAAGTCCTTTTCCACTCCATCGCTGTGGCGTGAGACTTATATTGACTGACTTGTTATCTCGGACAACTGTGATACTTAATGGCTTCTGTAACGTATAATATTAAATATTTATCAATTTAGGAAAAGTTATTCATGTCATGCACAGATACACAAAGTAGATAAATCTTCTATGCAAAAAAAAAAAAAAAGGATTTGGTATGGCTGATATTTTTGAAAACCATTTTGGCCTGGTTCACCTTAAAAAGGACAATATTTTTTATGAAATCTCTGATCTGCAGATAAGGCAGCATTCCATCACAATGCCAAATTTCATGTACTGTAAACTAATCCAAATTTTCAATACGCAATACAATAGTTATGTTTATACGTGTATGCACAATTGATATTATGTTGTTTCTTTTAATCACACATTGGACATTTTCATAAGTCTGGCATTAATAAAAGTAAAAAACAACATGCTGTAGTTCTGTACCAGGAGACGGTAACATTTGGCATTTCATTAGCTGTTCAGCAATTCTAAATGTAATATACCAGAGCTGGACAAAGGTAGAGATTCCCAGTGTTCTAGAACTACAACCTCCAGGATACTTTTCTAACCTTTATAATGGCTAAGCAGTATGGAAGTTGCAATGCTACATCATCTGAAGATCTACTGTGTGCAAATCCCTGTAGTATAGGGATCGTTTTATTTTCGAACCCATGTACGTATTACTGTCTCTTTAGCCCTATCTCTATGCCATAAGACCAAACATATTAATTACTATCAACAGGAGTCAAAGTCATAACATTATCTCGCTCTCATACTTACCCCCTCACTGTGTTGCACAACACTGGCAATGTTCTGTAATGTCTGGAAATTACTTGCATTTACTGATCCAAATGCAACAATCTCATCTCCAACTTGCAGGCCCTAAAAATATATACATAAAAATACAAATTAATATTTTTTATTGCAACTTTGAAACCCTTAATAAAATATTTAAATAAATAAATAAATTTAAAAAAAAGGACCTTATGCAACTATAAAGAAAATATTAAACTTTAACATTTCTCAGAACATATATCAAAACAAATCAGAATTTATGAGAAGACCTATTCTGTTTTTCCTAAAACTCCAAATTTTAGGGAATTAAATCCAAACTGAAAAATGGAGGTTAAAATAGGTAAGTGACTATGAAAGAGTTATACTTTTTATTGAGCGGCTGTTTTAGCCTCTATTGTTCCATACACATTTATTTTGCTACCATTTGGAATTTAGTTAATAACACTTGCAGAACAGGATTAATGTTCTGATTTCACTCAATACAGAACAAGAGCATCTAATGGTGTGCTCACTCTACAGTGATTGAGAACACAGGACAACAACCTGGGGGGTGGTGGGACAAAATCTCGAAATCAGGATGATCCTCCTGAACTCTGGACAGTTAAGAAGGCTGGTAAATTACTTCAAATGAACTGTTCAAATGTATTATTGTATCATTAATTGAAACATGTTAGGTGCCAAACTGCACATAATCACCCTTGCTTGCGGTTAGCAGGTTTGAAAGTAGGCTCTCCAACTATGCATAATGTGACGCAACTCCAGATGTTGCACATTCCAATGGAGCGGCACCCAGTAGGGGTTATTCACAAAATGAGGATTGTCAGGAATTCAAAGTGCATTTCACATTTTAGAACACAGTAGCCGAACTGTATGCATAGCTAACCTGAAGAATGTTTCCA